AGAATTATTTCCTGTTTTTACCCAATTTGGATCTCCATACACAACTTTTCTCTGTACCGCGATACGATGGAGTTCTCTCCCTTGTCAAACAGAGCGCGAGGCCCGGCTTTTACTCGGAGCTACTAATGTAAATAATGAACTTTTATCAGTAAAATATGCATTGTTAGATAACATGAATGATATCTGATACAGAGAACACGAATAATCATAAAGGTTAGTGAGGGCATTTTGTTCCGTTTAGCGTACATGACAACAGAGACAAAAATCTATTATATGGTCTCTGATGACAAGTACCACGATACCCCGAGGTTGCAGGCTATACAGGGTGCCGGGGACCTTTAATAACCTAGAATCCCCACGGGGTATAGATTCCTGGGGACCTTTTATAACCTAGAATCCCCACGGGGTATAGGTTGACGGAGTCCTTAAATAACCTGGAATCCCCACGGGGTATAGGTTGACGGAGTCCTTTAATAGCCTGGAATCCCCATGGGGTATGGGTTGTCAGGGACCTATAATAGCCTGGAATCCCCAAGGAGCATAGGTTGCCGGGCACCTATAATAACCTGGAATCCCCACGGGGTATAGGTTGCCGGGCACCTATCATAACCTGGAACCCCCACGGGGTATAGGTTGCCGGGCACCTATAATAACCTGGAACCCCCACGGGGTATAGGTTGCCGGGCACCTATAATAACCTGGAATCCCCACGGGGTATAGGTTGACGGGCACCTATAATAACCTGGAATCCCCACGGGGTATAGGTTGCCGGGCACCTATCATAACCTGGAACCCCCACGGGGTATAGGTTGCCGGGCACCTATCATAACCTGGAACCCCCACGGGGTATAGGTTGTCGGGGACATATCATAACTTGGAATCCCCACGGGGTATAGGTTCCCGTGGCCTTTAATAACCTAGAATCCCCAGATTATATATAGATTGCTGGGGACCTTTTATAACACTGAATCACTCACGGGGTATAGGTTGCAATGGGGATCTTTAATAATCTTGAATGCGCGCGGCGTATAGGTTGCCGGGTCCTTTAATAGCTTCGAATCCCCACGGGGAATAGGTTGTCGGGGACCTATAATAGCCTGGAATCCTCACAGGATATAGGTTGGCGGGGACCTATAATAGCCTGGAATCCCCACGGGGTATAGGTTGTCAGGGACCTATAATAGCCTGGAATCCCAACGGGGTATAGGTTGTCGGGCACCTATCATAACCTGGAACCCCCACGGGGTATAGGTTGTCGGGCACCTATCATAACCTGGAACCCCCACGGGGTATAGGTTGTCAGGGACCTATAATAGCCTGGAATCCCCACGGGGTATAGGTTGTCGGGCACCTATAATAGCCTTGAATCCCCACGGGGTATAGGTTGACGGGCACCTATAATAACCTGGAACCCCCACGGGGTATAGGTTGTCAGGGACCTATAATAACCTGGAATCCCCAGGGGGTATAGGTTGTCGGGCACCTATAATAGCCTGGAACCCCCACGGGGTATAGGTTGCCGGGCACCTATAATAGCCTGGAATCCCCACGGGGTATGGGTTGTCAGGGACCTTTTATAGCCTGGAATCCCCAAGGAGCATAGGTTGCCGGGCACCTATCATAACCTGGAATCCCCACGGGCTATAGGTTGCCGGTGTCCTTTATTAACCTGAATCCCCACGGGATATAGGTTTCTGGGGAAGTATAATAACCTGTATTCCCCATGGGGTATAGATCGTCGGGGACCTATAATAGCCTGGAGTCCCCACTGGGTATAGTTTGGTGGGGATAAATTATATTACTAAAGGTTGGTCTCAATGCGTAGCCTCACTGAATGTATGTTTTCGTATGCGACTTCCTGTGTGGCTGTTCATGCTATCAACCACTGGTTGCAGGCCATGTCCGATTATTTACACGCTACTGTGTAGTAGCGTTTCTCTTCACAGACACGTCAACTTAAAATTACAAGACAACGCTTTAAAATATTATACGTACGCATCAGTGACTATTGACGAAACAATGGAGAAAGTTCCTTTCCTGAAATGTTGTACAACGGCTTGAAATCGTGTACGGGACTCATTGACAATTTCTTGCTTCCGGACCATAAAGTGTATATTTTTTCTTCTTACTTCAGCTTTTCCAAGGCAGTCGGACTCGTGTGGAAATGAAAGTTGGATTCAAATTCGGAGCGTAACACATACATTGTTCAACATTAATTGGGAAAGTTTGCATAAAAATCAGACTAAACTGTGTCTTTTGCTATTCGTGACTTTTCAGATTTTTGGTTTCCAAGGTAAAACAAATGGTCTTCGTTCAAATGTACGAGGGGTGTTTATTAAAGATTTCCCCTGACCCACTTCCGATGGACCTAGTGGAATGAAACTTGGCATAGGTATTAGTCTCTCTCCACATAGGAACCACCAAGAGTTACACACTTCTCCCATCGTTTTATGCAGCTATGGAGACCTCGCTTGTAAAAGCCCTCATTTTGCGTCTCAAACCAGGACTTGACTTCAGAAATCAGTGTTTCATCATCTGTGAAACGTTTTCCCTTCAAAAATGACTTCATGGTTGGAAAGAGGTGGAAGTCAGATGGTGCAAGGTCAGGAGAGTAAGGAGGATGTGGAAGGATTTCATAGCCACAGGACCGCGCTTCTGTCTGGGCACCATGAGAGTTGTGTACTGGAGTATTGTCTTGCAGGAGACAGACACCCTTTGTCAGCATGCCACGCCTCTTAAGCTTGATGGCGTCCCGCAATTTCCGCAGCAGTGAAGCATAATAAGCTCCTGTAATTGTGGTACCCTTTGCCAAGAAATCCATCATCACTACTCCGTGCTGGTCCCAAAACACCGTGAGCCTGCAGAGGGTTGGACACGTGCCTTCTTTGGGGGTGGTGACTCCACATGCTTCCATTGCATCGATTGAACTTTAATCTCAGGATCATAGTGATGGACCCATGTTTCATCCTGTGTGATAAGTCTGTCAAAAAAGTTTGCCCGGGCTTTTTTGGCACATGTCCAAAAGATCCTTTTTAGCAATTGATTCGTTCCTGCTTTTGGAAAGGTTTGAGTAACCTGGGAATCCATCGTGCAGACACCTTATGCATGTTCAAATTGTCATGGATGATTTTTTTTCCACAGACCCTACACTGATCTTGACGTCTTGCGCTAACTGGCGAACAGTTATACGTCGGTCTGCCAAAATGGCGGTCTCCACTTGATGGATAGTGTCCTCATCAATGGCTGAATGGGGGCGACCAGGAATGGCAGCTGTTTCCACAGATGTCCGACCACACTTGAACTGGCGATGCCAGTGTTTAACAACGTCATATGATGGGGCATCTTCCCCATAAGGTGCTTTCATTTCATGGAAAGTTTCTTTTGGTGTGCGACCTTTCAAATATAAAAACCTAATCACTGCTCGGTATTCTACTGGCTCCATTGTCACCCCCTACTCGATCATAACACCTGTAAAAGTGGTAAGATTAATAGTTCGGTGCTGCAAATTCAGACATAACCCATAGATACATGTATCATTACACATGTGAAATTTCAACCAAATATGATAACCCTAATCGGGTCAGGGGAAATCTTTAATGAACGCCCCTTGTAGGTACAGTGTGCGTTCATTATTCACAATTAAACGGTTCAGTATCTGATGCCTTTTGTTTTTCGTGATTTTATTAACCTAGTATACTAAACTCACTCCCGTGTAATCCCAATTGTATGGCCCGTGAAGATCCGGGGTAGAATAGGTATTCAGCAACCCATGCTTGCCGTAAGAGGCGACAATATGTTTGTCGTATAAGAGGCGACTAACGGGATCAGGTGGTCAGACTCGCTGACTTTATTGACGCATGTCATCTTATCCCAATTGCGTGGATCGATGCTCATATGTTGTCAATCACTGGATTGTGTGGTCCAGATTCCATTATTTACAGACCGCCGTCATATAGCTGGAGTATTGCGGCGTTAAACAACAAACAAACAAATCCAATTTTATGAAACAAGTGAATAGTTCTGGTACCGAACGCCTCGCCCAATATTGTTCTGCTAACCTAATATGACGCCGTATACGGCCACTAAAAACACCATAACTAAAAGTATTCCCTTGAAATATATACAATCTGGTGAAAGCTGACCTGCTGTCTGTTGGTCCAGGGGGCACGAGGGGCCCAGTCGTCTTCTGCGCCGCAATTCGCTGTAAAGAGTTGAGTCCCTTGGTCACGCCAGAAACCTATGTTTGTGGGTTCGAATCCCGGTTCGCCCCGATTATGTTTCTAGGTTTGTCAGCACCATACCCGTGCTCGTGGGTTTCACCGAAGTGATTTCCTCCCACATTAAGCTGACACGCCGCGATATAACTGGAATACTGTTAAAAGCGGCATTAAACACAACTCACTCACTCACTGTTGGTCCATGGCAGGCACCTGCTGAAAACAGGACGGAGCTATATGCAGTGGAATACCTACGGAAAGGAGTAGATCTATAAAATAACTTCATTTTCACATCCGTTTTGCTATTTTCATGGGAGTACACTCGATTAGTTATATAGTATCCAAATTTGACCTAATAAAGATAACGTTTTAACTAGGGCTGGGACGAGTCCAAATGTACTACCCGCGGGTACCCGACCCCCTATTACCCGACCCTATCCGGGTACCCACTGCAGGTCTCAGGAGTTGGGAACAAAATGTCTGATTGGGAATTGTTTTACCGCAGCCCTGGCCAAAACTATTTAAATACATGTATCAAACGATGAGAAGTTGAATGAAGCGTTATCTTTACTATTTAAGTCAAAAGGAATGTGTGTATAGTCAGAAAGAAATGCGAACATTAGCGACATGTAGTGTAACCACTGAGCTATAAAGATCTAGTGAGTTTTTGTCATTAAACCATATATATCACATGACTAACCACGGCTCCGGGTAGTCCTGGGGGTACCCGGGTCCTACTCAGGACCCACCCACCCGAGTAGCCGAGTTACCCGTCCCAGGCCTAGTTTTAACCAAACATCTGCACTGTCTGTGTAACCCGTGAAGATCCGGGTTAGAACAGGTATTCAGCACCCAAGATGCTCGCCGTTTACAAGAGGCTCCTAAACTTATAAGAGGCGACTAACGGGATCGGTTGGTCATGCTTCCTGGCTTGGTTGATGCATGTCATCGTATCCCAGTTGCGTAGATCAATGCTCATGATATCAATGACTGGATTGTCTGGTCCGGACTCGATTATTTACAGACCGCTGTCATGTAGCTGGGATATTGCTGTGTGGTGTAAACAACAAACAAACACTGACTGAGTTTTGAAAACCCTTCATGGCTGCGAAACAACAAAATTCACAATTTGTCATATAGTTCAATACACCTACATATAGCTATTCTCACTTGACATGGTTTAAATCATTGAGATCTAGATCTAAGCGAACATGACAGATGCCAAATACGAAACTAATGTTGATTACATAGCTTTGCTTGGTTTCAAGATGGCGGCTCACAGAGCTAAAGACTGGAAAGGAAATATTTTGATTCAACTGCAAGGTCGAAATAAGAAACAAACCCAAGCATATGTAGGCCTAATTCAAGCACGTGAGTCAAACATAGCTGTAGCCAATTTTGAATATAAGTACTTCCTCACAAACAAAGATTAAGCCTTTCTTGCGAATGCGGAAGATAGTTTTGACACCTCCCCTTGCAGACGATAAAATGTTGTTTTCATCACAGTCTGGTAAAATGATAAGGCTGACTGACTTGTGGTCAGTTGGATGGTTCACTGATTTAAGGGCGGACCCATACACTAAGCTTGTGTGTTAAATCAGTTACTTTGCCAGCTCGACTGTACAGAAAGAATCATTGACATCAAAATGTATAAGAATGATGTTCAGTGATAGAAATAAAATGTCAGTGAAAGTGTTATCGATTTGAGCATGACTACCGAGGGGTATTTATGCTTACACTTTAAAGTCACACATGTACAGTAGAGTTTGAAACAGTTCTCACTTCAATACTCATTCTTATGGCATTAAACGGCCCCAGTATGCCTGTCAAAATGGCACTAATTTGGCTGAAATGTCTTCAGATTTTTCAGTTTTGAAAGCAGCATATGCTTCTCAAAAGATGTTATAAAACACCCACGATTCTGTCATATCTATACATGCAATAGTTTATCTGTCATGTCTGCAGTGTGAAAGAATCAGGTATTCTTTTGAATGCAGTCTGCGATTTTAGCCACTAATGTGGAGCCCGAAATTAATAAAATTCAGGTCTGTCCTGTAAGCTTTGCTAATAATAGAACATATGATGATCATAAAAATTAATTCCGAGAGCAGTTATAGCTACAAGACTCAAAAAAACATTTGGCACAGATGTGTTATAATGTCAGTCTATACCAAAAGCTTTTGAGTCTCCTAGCCCGAACCTGTCACCCAACATCATTTTCAGTGGATGTTAGTATTCATTTATGGACTTTCATTAGCAATGCTTACCTGACTGAAAGGAATATTACTAGACTCGTGCTTCGGCCTGGTGTCTATTGTCACAGACTGCTGCCTTGTGTTTGTTTGTTTGTTGTTTAACGCCGCACTCAGCAATATTCCAGCTATATGATGGCGGTCTGTAAATAATCGAGTGTGGACCAGACAATCCAGTGATTGACATCATGAGCATCGATCCACGCAGTTGGGATATGATGACCTACATCAACCGAGTCAGTGAGCCTGACCACCCGATCCCGTTAGTCGCCTCTTACGACAAGCATAGTTGCCTAGTGTGGAACTGGTGCTTTAAAAGTAAACATTATATATTTATTCAGGTACCACAAACTATTAATTATTTCAATCAGCATATGTAAAATCAATATTTGTTGTCAGTTTATTGATTAGTAGATGAGAAAGCTACTGGTAACATGTCATGAAAGAAAATATTTTGCTATATCTTATCCGTAACACTCTCTAGTTTGGTTTGTTCAAGAAATGTGATTTCAAGAAATTGTTTAATGGGAAACTGTGTGTGTATTTATTTAAAACTGTCATGGAGATTATTTTAAATGTCTTAGAGATAGACAAGCAAAACTATACTGTTTTTAAAAAGTCAATATATTTTAATGAACATGGTGCCGTTTTGATTCAGAGACATGGCCTATTTACAATCTTTTCCAACAATATCACTCCCGCAACACTAAGCTACCATCATCATGATCATCAGGCATACCTGCCCTGTACAAGCTGTCACTGTATTTGTTTGTTAGTTCTTTAACGCCGCACTCAGCAATATTCCAGGTATATGACAGCAGTCTGTAAATAATCGAGTCTGGACCAGACAATCCAGTGATTGACATCATGAGCATCGATCCACACAAATGGGATAGATGACATGCATCAACCAAGTCAGCGAGCCTGACCACCCGATCCCGTTAGTCGCCTTTTACGACAAGCATAATCGCCTTTTACGGCAAGCATGGGTTGCTGAAAACCTATTCTACCCCAGATCTTCACAGGTCTCTCAGCAATGGACTCATCCATGGACTCCCTGTGACCAGTGTTGCTTAACTTCACCTGATCACATGCCAAAGTGAAAGTCAAATTTCTTCTTCTTTTTTACATTTACATAAAATACTGGACGTCAAAGTGGCCGACATGATAAACAGGACATGAAAGATTTCCGAAACTGTTCCTGAATCTGTGGTGATTACATGTACCGTATGCAACGTAATAAGCGCCCAGGGCGCTCTCAAAATTAGAAATAGGGGGCTCTTATTAGAATATTATTTTGGTGGGGGAAAAAACAACACAGTTGAAAGATATCGTGGTTTATGCCGTCATATAGCTGGAATAATGCTGAGTGCGGCGTAAAACAACAAACCAACCATCAACCAACCATTGCTGAGAATGAAGATTGAGTACATACTGATCCATTAACCGGTATTGGTTGTCGCTGAACCTTGACTGATGGATAAATCAACAACAGGTTTTTATGTTTCACGCTAGCTTTGACATATTGCATGTTTGTTTTCTCCCTCAGATAACAAGCTTGTAGAGATCGCGTCTTCACTCAAGTCACGTAATGTTCAACTCCAAGTTGAGGCAGAGAAATTGAAGGAAGAAAACTTTAATCTCCAGGTGAAGGTTGAAACTGGGTGAGTACATTATGCTGTCTGACTAACGCTTAGTTTCTGAAAATACATGCTGTATTCGACGTAATAAGTGCCCCGCTCTAATAAGCGCCCACGGCGATATATTTGCTAATATATTGGCTAGTGAACAATCCACATTAGCACCCCTTCCGATTGATCAATGTACACAAGACTTATTTATTCGCGTATAATACGCAATCGTGTGTTATATGCACCCTTAATTATGGGCAATTAAATTCGGGAAAAATATATCTGTCGCATATAAACATTTCAGGGTGTCAGCATAAACCATGAAATTTATCTTTCAACTCTGTTTTTCACCAAAATAGTATTCCAATAAGAGCCCCCTATTTCTAATTTTGAGAGTGCCCTGGGCACTTATTATGTTGAATACAGTAGTATTTATAGAAATATGTGGAATCTGTGGAAAATCTAGACTTGCTACATTTGGGCTATAGCATTGCAGTAAGGGCTGGGTGGAAGAGGCTAGGGCTGGGACGAGTCCAAATGTACTACCCGGGTTTCCACCCCACTATTACCCTACCCTACCCTACCTGGGTACCTGCTGTAGATCTCAAGAGATGGGTACAAAATGTCTGATTGGGAAAAGTTTGATCTTACCCCTGGTAAAAAGAATTTAGATACACGTATAAAACGATCCGGTCATGCATAGGCTGAAGTTGTCTGAGTTTTTATCTTTATTCAAACATATAAAGTCAGAAGGAATGTGTGCATAGTCCGAAAGAAATGCGAACATTTGTCACTTATCACTTATAGTGTAACCATAGAGTTCTAGATAATTTTTACCATTAAACAATATAATCACATGACTAATCACGGGTCTGGGTAGTCCTGTGGGTACCCGGGTCCAACTCAGTACCCACCTGACCCGAGTACCCAAGGTACCCGTCACAGTCCTACCTGTTACTGTTGTGAGTAGTTTAGACATGTAATAGCATGACAGTTAAGGTTTCAATCAAATTTGGGATTTGAATGCATGAATGGGGCTGCAGATTTGGTGAGGGTAGTCACACTAGGTCCCCCAAAATACTACAATCAGCCTTAGAAATTCCTCTTTTTTAAGACTTAGTCCTTAGGACTAATGTTAACCATTTTTCACAGAGTTTGTAGCTATTCCTGCTTGAACAAGCAGGGTTAGAACTGAACACTAGCCCGCTAGCCTGGGGCTAGAACAAATTCCTGTGGGCAAGTACAAATTTCCAAATTTCCACATTGTTTTAACATGACAACAAGGCATTTTGTCTTTACCCGAGCTAGTAAAGCTTTGAAGTTTAGTTCTAACCCTGGACCCAGTTTTATTCAGAAGCATTTAGAACTGGATCAGAATTAAGCCCTCAGATACTACTCGTTTATCCGGACTAACATCACTGGATGTATGCTTGTTCTCAGCACGGGGGTCTCGGGCTAGCACCCTGGAGCCAGGAGTCAGGGGCACTTATGGTATACTGTAAACATCTTTATTTCTGCGCCGTTAAAATATTGCAAATACCACACCAAAGACAATACTGCGACGAGATATTTTTGCGAGTTGCCGTGTTGAGATGATCAAATACGATATTTGACTCAACTCATTGTCATGACTGAGTTTGAATGCAAACTATATAAGAAGGATTTGAATGAAAGTTCGTCATTCACAAATTGTGACAATGTGGAGATACGAATGGTACACGCAAGATGGCTTGTTTCCTGTGTGGACAAAATTGCAAAGGACACTGACGCAATCAAGCGAGGTTGGAAGAAGGCAGGATTACTGTGAGGTAGCAGTGACACTAATTGGTCTGTTTACACTGGCATTTGTGATGTATTGTGTGACCATTCTGCATTCATTTGTGTTTTTAACTTACTGAGTAACTTGTGGTTCTGGTTGATGATTTCAACATTTGATGACGTGTTGCAATGAATAAAGTATGTATGTATTAGTTATACCTATTTTTGTGTTTTTAATTTTTGCAATTGAGTCTCGTTCGCAAAACTCGCAATAATAAAACGGTCGCAAAAAATTCCCAGTTTACAGTAGTGTTACAACTACATTGCTACAACACTGTCTTAACATGTGTCATTGTGTGACACCTTGATATACCACAACAAAGAGCTCATGATAGGTGAGGGGCATTTATATGTCATAAAAGACTGCATGGGATCGGTGATGCTTCTGTAAAGCACAAGTGACAAGTAACATCCTAATACAGAGAACTGCCTCAGGCCTCGTGTCATTGAGGGGCTGATTGAGGCTCTAGCCTCCAGCTCCCTAGCAAGTCATTAAGAGGGAGACAAGTTGACGCGATCAGATTGATGAGTTTGTTAGTCATGACGATTTGGAGAACTTATGTAAAGGGGTTACGTGGAGCGGTGACCTAGACTGGACACATGGATGAATACCATCTTGTCGTGTTCCTTGTAGTCACAGCCATGTTGCAGATTCGCAGGAGGCTGAGATACCGGAGGCTGTGAGTTCTAGGGGAAATCATGAGTACAGTGTTTGGCTTGTGTGGGATTTCAGTTTTTATGATTAACTTGGAGGCGTAAAGAATGTTTTGATTGATGTCTTTTGTGTAAGGATTACGACCCTGGTATAGCTGTGAAGTCGTAGCTTAATACTGCTCTGCTTTTTCTACTAATCTTGCTAAAACTGTACATAGCTCAGAGTTAGAAATTGGCACTAGTCCTGTAGTCCTTACCAAACTGCCCAATAGTAAAGGTATCCTAAGGACTAGTAGAAATTGGCCCATTTTAAGGATTTTGCTATATGTTATCATTATAAGGACTAGTGGACAAAAACTGTTAGTTTCTAACCCTATAGCTACGATTAATGCCTTCATAACACTCAGACTTTTCTGAAGTCTGATGAATATTTGAACAATCTTCATCAGAGTGTAAATTCAGAATATCATGGATTATATGCCTTGGGCCCTCTGGTTGACCGTAGTCGAACGTTCTGAAGGCGGGAATCGCAGTAAATGCGGAGCGGAACATAGCAATGTTTTCGCAGCTAACCGTAGTACTCCTAGCTTTATTTCATGCTATTGTTGTACAATGCAGTGTTCGAAATTAAGGGGATCTCTGTGGTCCTTGAGGTTTGCTGCTATAGTATTTGAATCAAGGTACCCTTATATATCTTATGTTAACAATAAGGGTTAAGACAAGACCCCTTGACTTTCATGCTTGATATTTGTCCACTGACAATGTATATCTCACTGTGTGGTGATATGATGATTTATTGAATTCCTATGATGTCACCATCCTCCAACAAGGAAATTAGCCAGGAATGTCTACTAGCCTGAAATTGTTCTCTAAATTATTCACAGTTGCCTCAGGCTTGGATGCAGCGGTCTTAACGCAGATCAGTATGATAGATATATCTTGGATACAAAACTTGTTTCTGTGGATATCATACTGAAGATGCTTTACACTTCTTTTTTGTGTGTACAAATTACTATGTTCTTCGAAATGAAATGTATTTCTACCAACATGGTTATTCTTTACAAACAATGCTATGCAGAAATTCGTATTTGAGTAAGGAAGCGCAAATCCAAACTTTAGATTCTATTCAAAACTTCATATAAAAACTGGCAGATATTCAGTTAAATGAATTGTTAATATAAACTGCAAACAGATTTATTATATATACACATGTAGCTTGGCATGTACAATTCATGTGTTACATCTAACCTTCACTGATATATTTATTGTATCATGTCCTATGTGTAATGGAGCGGTATTGACATAAGCGCTTCGCTTGTTTACCAATCTATTTTCACACTTTTGTGAAAGTAAATATTGGATATCTTTAAACATTAACAAAACTGGTCTGGCCTACTTCTAATTTCCATCCCTGCTCCAATACCTGACTGATTGTGACAGTACCTGAATTAGCGTATTCGACGTAATAACCGCCCAGGGCGCTCTCAAAATTAGAAATAGGGGGCTCTTATTAGAATATTATTTTGGTGAAAAATACAGAGTTGAAAGATAAATTTCGTGGTTTATGCTGACAGCCTGAAATGTTTATGTTAGACAGATATATATTTCCAGAATTTAATTGCCAATAATTAAGGTTGCATATGACACACGAGTGTGTATTATACGCGAAAAAATAAGTCTTGTGTACATTGATCAATTGGAAGAGTGCCAATTGGGATTGTTCACGAGCCAATGTATTAGCAAATATCGCTGCGGGGCGCATATTACGTCGAATACGGTAGCTGATATTATGTTGTTCCACTGTGGTTTAACAGTGGCAGTGGAGGAGGCAATTAGAGTTGAGCAGAGGTAGAAACTAACGTATTCAGTCCACTAGTCCTTATAATTATAACATATAGGAAAACCCTTAAAAATGGCAAATTTCTACTAGTCCTTATGATACCTTAACTATTGAGCAGTTTGGCAAGGACTACAGGACTAGTGCCAATTTCTAACGCTGTTGAGTATCACCTGGTATCTTGCGATACGATTCATATCAAGATATGGACTGACAATACCTGATATGGTACACCACATCAAACAGTAAGAAATGATGAAATCAATGAAATACAGCACTAAAGCCTCGTTCAAAATTTGTCTATTGCTATCTCAGAGAAAACCACAAGAACAAAACACTTTTAAATGAAGAGATGGTTATTAAATGTTGCAGTTAGTCGGCGTGTCCTCAGGTACCACGTCCTTGTGTTCTGCCATGCTTACATGCCATTGGGGGCACGGGTGGCCCAGTCGTCTAAGGGGCCACAATTCGCTGTGCAGAGTTGCGTCCCTTGGGCACGCCAGAAACCTATGATTGTGGGATGCCTGGGAGACAATTTAGTGAGTGATGTATTCTGTGTTGCAGTGGCGGCAGTGGCGGCGGTGGGGGTGGAGAGAAGGTGACACATCTGGAGCAGAAGCTGTACAAGTTGCAGGAGGAACTCACGGAACTACACAGGAAGAGGGGGGAGGTATGTAGTTGTAGACGTGGTGGTGGTAGCTGTAGTAGCAGTGGTAGTAGTAGCTGTGGGAGAGAAGTTGAACACACAGGAAGAGGGGGGTACTGGTAGTTTGTAGTAGAATCTGTAGTAGTAGTCATTGCGGTAGCTGTAGTACTAGTAGTGGTGGCAGTAGTAGGTTTAGTAGTAGTAGTAGTAGCAGTTGTAGTAGTAGTGGTAGTAGTGGTAGTAGTAGCAGCAGCAGATGTAGTGGTAGTAGTAGTAGTAGTAGTAGTAGTAGTAGTAGTAGCAGATGTAGTAGTAGTGGTAATGGTAGTAATAGTAGTTAGGTAGTGGTAATAGTAGCTGTTGTACCTACGGTACTTGTAGTTGTAGTAGCTATGGTAGTTGTAGTTGTAGTAGCTATGGTAGTTGTAGTTGTAGTAGCTATGGTAGTTGTAGCTGTAGTACCTACGGTAGTTGTAGCTGTAGTAGCGGTAGTTGTAGTAGCTATGGTAGTTGTAGCTGTAGTACCTACGGTAGCTGTAGTAGCGGTAGTTGTAGTTGTAGTAGCTATGGTAGTTGTAGCTGTAGTAGCGGTAGTTGTAGTTGTAGTAGCTATGGTAGTTGTAGTTGTAGTAGCTATGGTAGTTGTAGCTGTAGTAGCTATGGTAGTTGTAGCTGTAGTAGCGGTAGTTGTAGTTGTAGTACCTATGGTAGTTGTAGCTGTAGTAGCTATGGTAGTTGTAGCTGTAGTAGCGGTAGTTGGAGAAGCTACAGCAGAACTCACAGAGCTCTGCAGGAAGAGTGGGGAGACAAGGTAGTCGTCATCATCAATATTATTAATTTGTTTTACATAATTTCTGTTCTGTTTCAGAATGCCCAGCAAATTATTGACCTCAAGAATGTTTTACAAGAAAAAGAAAAAGATTTACAACTAAAAGATGCAAAGTGAGTTAAAGGAATGTGTGTTGTTGGACCTTGTTTGTAGCAGGACATTGCAAGTATCTACTGATATTATTAATGATGTTAGTGATATTATATGAATAATGGTAATAGTGATATGCAGTGGTCGAAATAAAGGAGTTTGTGTATTTGCATACGTAAACCCTTAACTGTTAACATAACTTATCACAAAGACTACTTGACTTTCATAACTAATGTCAAACACGAATTTGTGGATGCTTTTTAAAAGGAATGATCATTCTTGCATCTTCAAGCAATCATGATCACATTAATTCTGAGAAACAATAATATAATAAATGTAAAGTACTGTTTTGATTGTAAAAAGGGGGCACGGGTGGCCCAGTCATCTAATACGCTGTGATTCGCTGTGCAGAGTTGCGTCCCCTGGACACACCAGAAACCTATGATTGTGGGTTCGAATCCCGGTTCACCCCGATTATGTTTCTAGGTTTGTCAGCACCATACCCATGCTCGTGGGTTCCACCGAAGTGGTAAACGTCTCAGACCTGCATCACTTCGGGCTTCCCTCCCACATTAAGCTGACACGCCGTGATATAACTGGAATACTGTTAAAAGCGGCGTTAAACCCAACTCACTCACTCAATTTTGATTGTAAAAAAGTTGCAGTTGTGACTTCTAAACACAACAAAATCTGAAGTAAATCTTAAAAGTAATATGTGGTATTTCATGAGTGCTGGTTGTTGATGCTAAGCACATGATGTAGGTGATCTGTAACCTATGTATGATGTTCGACAGATTGTCCGACTCAGAAGCCAACATCCTCGCTTTGAAGAGTGCCCAGCGACAGCTGGAGAACACCATCATTGAACTGGAGGCCACCAACCAGGTCAGTGAGGAGAAGGCTGTGTGTTGGCAAAACAATGGTATTGCGATATATTACAATACAGGTAAAGTGTTAGACAGCTGGAGAACACCATCATTGAACTGGAGGCCACCAACCAGGTCAGTGGGGAGAAGGTTGTGTGTTGGCAAAACAATTGTATTGCGATATATTACAATACAGGGAAAGCGTTAGACAGTGATTGTACGTGCAGGTTCTGTTTTCTACAAACTAAAGTTCAAATTACTCAGGATTGTCAGTTGTCGCCATTATGTAGTCATGGATAGATGTTATATTGCTGGACTATTGCTGTCATGTCTTTTACAACTTATACCACAGTTAGTCTAAGTATGGCATCCACTTACTCACCCAATAACCCTCTCACTCACCAACCCACTCACTCACTCACTCACTCACCAACCCACTCACTAACCCACTCACTCACTCACCAATCCACTCACTCACTCACCAACCCACTCACTCACTCACCAACCCACTCACTCACTCAACCAATAACCCACTCCACTCCAACCTACCCACTACCCCTCCCCCTGCCCACTCACTCAATCACTCACTCACTCACTCCCCCCCGCCCACTCACTCAATCACTCACACACACACCCTCTCACTCACTCACTCACTCACTCACCCAATAACCCACTCAATCACTCAATAACCCATTCACTCACTCACTCACCCAAGCAACCAACCCACTCACCCTCCCCCCTGCCCACTCACTCTATCACTCACCCACTAGCTCGCCAGCCCGCCTGCCCGCCCACCCACCCACTCACTCACTCACCCACTCACTCACTCACTCACTCACTCACTCACTCACTCACTCACCCACCCACCCACCCACCCACCCACCCACCCACTCACTCACTCACTCACTCACTCACTCACTCACTTGTGTGTGGCAGATGCTGAAGGACGAGCACCAGGCCCTCCAGCTGGCGTTCACGGCGCTGGAGGAGAAGTACCGCAAGGTGATGGAGGAGAACTGTGAGCTGGTGCAGCGGTGGATGGATCTCAAGGCCAAGGATGCTGACAAGCTCAACGAGGAGAATGACGACTTCCTCAAGTAGGTGACAGATCTTTAAATAGAAATTAGGGCATCATCTGATCACTTAAAACATCAACCACTCAGGACAATTCACAGTCTCTGAAGTGTGAGACTTTTGTCACTGGTCCTAGAGTTGTTAGTCCAGCCTAACTGTTTCTCCATAATACCAGCCTAGTTCGGCAAGGGTGGAACCTGGACTTTTAGAGTCAGTTAACTCTCTTGCCTCGGGAAGATGTAAACATACAGCTGTGTTTAATTTTGTGACATGACATGACATGTGGATGGGATTAATTATTTTTTGGGAATTAATACTTTTTATTCCTGTATCCCTGTTACATTTATATCACTGCAGTCAGGAAACTACAGAGTTTAACACGAGAGACACAATGTAAAAGTTCAGATTAAAGTTGTTTTATGCAGGACTATTTTAGGTAATCAGCTGGTCATTGGGACGTGCAAATGTACCCGTGTTACCCCGAGGGGTGGTCGGGTAGCCTAGTAGTTAAAGCGTTCGCTCGTCACGCCGAAGACCCAGGTTCGATTCCCGACATGGGTACAATGTGTGAAGCCCATTTCTGGTGTCCCCCGCCGTGATATTGCTGGGATATTGCTAAAAGCGGCGTAAAACCGTACTCACTCACTAACTCTACTCCAAAATGGATTATGTTTCAATTGACCTTCCTAATTCCACGAAAGCCAAGTGATGCATCGACACAATATGCATACAGCTCAATACTCGCTGAATGTTAATTTTACTTTGTGGATACATGTTATATCAGCCGTAGCAAACAGCGACACATTTCCGAATCTGTCTTAATAACAGACTGTATTTAGTGTAACAAAATAGGGACACACAAATCTGTCGACAAAAAGGTCGACAATGTGATATTTTAACTTATTACCTACGAGGGCAAAAATATTCGAATTAAAAAAATTACATGTGCCCTAGGGTCATATCACATCACAAGACAACAGTGTATTCAGCGTTCCCTTTTAACGGTAATTACCATTTTTTTACCGATAAAATTAGCCTTCGACTGGTAATTCATGTGACTGCCAGTCCCTGTGGACCGTCAAATAAAGTACCTTATAAATCTTTGTTGTTGAACAAAACATCGGTGATATTCATATGAGTACATTTTCCGAACAAAGTCAGCCTGTCTGTTACCACCATTTGTAGCGACCTCGTCTCGAAATAAAAAAAAAGAGAAAATTGTTACTGAAGTTTGTGTGAATGACGTTTAGATCTAACTAAGTTACTTCCGAGATGACATCTTTGCAATGAACATGATGTTGAAAGAATTAAAACCAAATAATTTTCATGCTTATTTTTAGTTGTTGAAAGTTGGTACTGGCAAAAATTAGGGGGGGACTGGTAAATTTTAGAGTTGCCGGTCCACAATGACTGGCAGTTTCAAAGGGCAGCGGGAACACTGGTATTGCTTCCGTCATCCGGATGGCATTGTTGGAGTTATTCGAATCTTGTTGTGACCGCTAAAGTTGATCCATGTTTGCAGGAAGCGGCAAGCACAGTTGCGGAAAGACCTTGCTGATGCAGCGAAGGAACCTGTTGCAATAACAGAAACGTAAGTGTTATCGGAACTGGCGCTTACAGTCCGAAGCCGGAGTCCAGTAATTTCTGTCTGGGCTGGAAACCTCAGCTAATAATGGTCCATACAATGACACTAATGTCTTCTGAAAATGATGCTAAGGGCAGTGGGGTAGCCTGGTGGTTAAAGTGTTCACTTGTCACGCATAGGGCCTTGAGGTTTGCTCCTGGTTGTATTTGAACCATGGGGCCCCTTAGGGATCTGTCATTTATGAAATTATCATGGGGGTGGGGGTCAGAGGTTTTTGATGCACTAATGTACTAAAAATACCCCCCCCCCCTCTCCACCTCCAAATGCATGTCATTTTTGGGATGAAATTTTTCCCCGTGTCCTTTGTACATTTTTTTCATGACCCTCCCTGGAAAGACAAAATCCCAAAACACTTTACCGTATTCAACGTAATAAGCGCGCCGCTCTAATTAGCGCCCTCGGCGATATTTGCTAATATATTGGCAAGTGAACAATCCCAATTAGCACCCCTTCCGATTGATCATGTACACAAGAGCTATCTCTTCGTGTATAATACGCACTCGTGTGTTATATGCACCCTTAATTATGGGCAATTACATTCTTTAAAATATATCTGTCGTATATAAACAGTTCAGGCTGTCAGCATAATCAACGAAATTTAACGTTCAACTCTGTTTTTTTCACTAAAATAATATTCTAATAAGAGACCCCTATTTCTAATTTTGAGAGTGCCCTGGGCGCTTCTTACGTCGAATACGGTATGTCCAATTTTTCATGACCCTCCCCAAATATGTGTATTATTTTTAATGACCCCCCCTTTGAGGATGTCATATGTTTTGGTGACCCTCCCCATCCCACCCTATTATAAATGACTGGTCCCTAAACCTTTTTGTTAACATTAGGGTCATGACCAGGGTGCCGTTGTATAAAACAACCTTAGCGCTACGACTGTCGTAAGTCTTTGTTAAGGTATGGGAGTTACGATCACCTTAGCGGTAAGATCGCTTTGTACAACGGCACCCTGGACCTTTTGACTTTCATGCTTAAGTTTGAACACTGCTTGTGCTTAAACTGGTGATAGCCGTTGGGGTAGTCCCAAACCAAAGACCCGGGTTCCATTCCCCACATAGTTATAATATGTGAAGCTCATTTCTGGCATCCCCCACAGTGATATTGCTGGAATGCATAAAACCTAACTCACTCACTCACTTAACCTGGTGAACATACATGATCTGTTTGTTGCAGCGGAAAGCTCTTGCTGCCCGGCATTACCCCCATCTGCCTCAGTGCCTCTATACCAAGCAAAGCACAGTGTGTCTTCGTGAGTACCTCTACAATGCTGTGTGAGTGAGTGAATGTTGTTTTATGCCAGGCATCACCCCATCTGTCTCAGTGCCTCCATACCAAGCAAAGCACAGTGTGTCTTCGTGAGTACCTCTACAACGCTGTGTGAGTGAGTGAATGTTGTTTTATGCCAGGCATCACCCCCATCTGCCTCAGTGCCTCTATACCAAGCAAAGCACAGTGTGTCTTCGTGAGTACCTCTACAATGCTGTGTGAGTGAGTGAATGTTGTTTTATGCCAGGCATCACCCCATCTGTCTCAGTGCCTCCATACCAAGCAAAGCACAGTGTGTCTTCGTGAGTACCTCTACAACGCTGTGTGAGTGAGTGAATGTTGTTTTATGCCAGGCATCACCCCCATCTGTCTCAGTGCCGCCATACCAAGCAAAGCACAGTGTGTCTTCGTGAGTACCTCTACAACGCTGTGTGAGTGAGTGAATGTTGTTTTATGCCAGGCATCACCCCCATCTGTCTCAGTGCCTCTATACCAAGCAAAGCACAGTGTGTCTTCGTGAGTACCTCTACAGCACTGTGTGAGTGAGTGAATGTTGTTTTATGCCAGGCATCACCCCATCTGTCTCAGTGCCTCCATACCAAGCAAAGCACAGTGTGTCTTCGTGAGTACCTCTACAACGCTGTGTGAGTGAGTGAATGTTGTTTTATGCCAGGCATCACCCCATCTGTCTCAGTGCCTCCATACCAAGCAAAGCACAGTGTGTCTTCGTGAGTACCTCTACAGCGCTGTGTGAGTGAGTGAATGTTGTTTTATGCCAGGCATCATCCCATCTGTCTCAGTGCCTCTATACCAAGCAAAGCACAGTGTGTCTTCGTGAGTACCTCTACAACGCTGTGTGAGTGAGTGAATGTTGTTTTATGCCAGGCATCACCCCATCTGTCTCAGTGCCTCTATACCAAGCAAAGCACAGTGTGTCTTCGTGAGTACCTCTACAACGCTGTGTGAGTGAGTAAATGTTGTTTTATGCCAGGCATCACCCCATCTGTCTCAGTGCCTCTATACCAAGCAAAGCACAGTGTGTCTTCGTGAGTACCTCTACAACGCTGTGTGAGTGAGTGAATGTTGTTTTATGCCAGGCATCACCCCATCTGTCTCAGTGCCTCTATACCAAGCAAAGCACAGTGTGTCTTCGTGAGTACCTCTACAGCGCTGTGTGAGTGAGTGAATGTTGTTTTATGCCAGGCATCACCCCATCTGTCTCAGTGCCTCCATACCAAGCAAAGCACAGTGTGTCTTTGTGAGTACCTCTACAACGCTGTGTGAGTGAGTGAATGTTGTTTTATGCCAGGCATCACCCCCATCTGTCTCAGTGCCTCCATACCAAGCAAAGCACAGTGTGTTTTCGTGAGTACCTCTACAACGCTGTGTGAGTGAGTGAATGTTGTTTTATGCCAGGCATCACCCCATCTGTCTCAGTGCCTCCATACCAAGCAAAGCACAGTGTGTCTTCGTGAGTACCTCTACAACGCTGTGTGAGTGAGTGAATGTTGTTTTATGCCAGGCATCACCCCCATCTGTCTCAGTGCCTCCATACCAAGCAAAGCACAGTGTGTCTTCGTGAGTACCTCCAGAACACAGAGCTTTTTGGGGATGACACTTTTCAAATATTTTTGCATTTATTTCTTAACCCTTATTTTCACTAAATTTGTGAGTCTTGGAAACATGAAACAAAATTATCTTAATTGAATTGTACTTAATTGTTATTTATAGACTGCACCTTTGGTCTAGTGGATAGAGCGTCTGCCTGGAGAGCGGAAGCTCGTGGGTTCGATCCCAAGCTGTGTCATACCAAATGATGATAAAGATGGTACTTGTTGTTACCCTGCCTGGTGCTCGGCATTTAGGGGCTCAAACAAGGACTTCTTGGCTCGCACATTGCTGTATAAGTACAAATTCTTGTCTTACAGGATGCTCATGAAGGGGAGGTAAATGCTGTGCAGTGGAGCGGCTCTGGGAGACTCTTTGCAACTGGTAGTGCCGATAGAAAAATAAAACTCTGGGAAATTATTAATGGTGAGCTATATGAAGTTATAGTGGAAAGAAAGAATCCTAGCCTTTCAACAGTAGACGCAAACATATATTTAGAGTTTTTAACAATGGGACGTGTCCAAAATTGCCATAGCTATATTTTTTTCAGTAATTCTTAACCATACAAATATGTTCACTATTTAACACTGGAAACTGTTCATTGTTATTTCCGTGCCCTCCCCAAGTTTGGGGCGGTCGGGTAGCCAAGTGGTTAAAGCGTTCACTGGTTACGCCGAAGACCCGGGTTCAAATCCCGACATGGGTACAATGTGTGAAGCCCATTTCTGGTGTCCCCCGTCGTGATATTGCTGGAATATTGCTAAAAGCGGTGTAAAACCATACTCACTCACTCACTCCAAAGGGTGAGCCTCCCTTTGTGTGTACACCAACCCCTTGCCACGGAAATAGACTCGGCCACAGAGGTCTAGGATGCTGCAGGGTGTTGTACAGAGTTGCTTCCCTTAGTTGTGCCAGGATGAGGGATGCAAATTAGCCTGAAACATTTACTAGCCAAAATAGTGATAACATATATGAAGTACCACTCCATCCCCACTCAGTACCCTGAAAGTCTACATGCTCGGGAGGATAACTTTAGCATCAATACACTGGCTGGGGTTTGTGAGTTAGTGCCTGTTTGCACCCTGTTGTCTAATATTGTTAATTCTAGATTGTCTCTATTATTATCCAACCCGTGAAGATTCCGGGGTAGAATAGGTCTTCAGGAACCCATGCTTGCCGTAAAAGGTGACTATGCTTGTCGTAAAGGTGACTAACGGGATCGGATGGTCAGGCTCGCAGACTTGGTTGATGCAAGTCATCGTATCCCAATTGCTTGGATCGATGCTCATGATATTAATCACTGGATTGTCTGGTCCAGACTCGATTATTTACAGACCGCCCTCATATAGCTGTAATATTGCTGAGTGCGACGTTAAACAACAAAACAACCAACCAACCAACTCAGTACCCAGAAAGTCTACATGCTCTGGAGGATAACTTTAGCATCAATACACTGGCTGGGGTTTGTGAGTTAGTGCCTGTTTGCACCCCGTTGTCTGATATTGTTAATTCTAGATTGTCTCTATTATTATCCTTGGTTCACACTATAATCTAGCTTCCTCTCGTTACCTGACCTGTCCCTTACAAAACATGCTGATGATACACCTTCTACCTAGTAATACTACAACTAGTACTAATAATAGACTATTTATATTGTGTATTTTTCAACACCAATCAGGGGCATGCTTATAGCGCTATTATTACCCTGGTCACCGGAGCAATGTGCACTCAAGAATCATTCTCAGCTCCCTGAGGAGTATACAACCCAAGCTGCCTGTTAGGAGCTGGAAGGTTAACAGCCACATTGCCATCTCATCCTAACGGGTACTGCTGGGTGAACAGTGGCGCATTTCGAACAAAGTCACTTGCCCAAGGTGACACCACATCTGTTACATGTGCTTCAAGACCCATGAAGATCCGGGGTAGAATAGGTCTTCAGCAACCCATGCTTGCCGTAAAAGGCGACTATGCTTGTCGTAAAAGGCGACTTACAGGATCTGGTGGTCAGCCTCGCTGACTTGGTTGATGCATCTCATCGATCCCAATTACGTGGATCGATGCTCATGATATTAATCACTGGTTTGTCTGGTCCAGACTCGATTATTTACAGACTGCTGTCATATAGCTGGAATATTGCTGAGTGCAGCGTTAAACAACAAACCAACCAACCAACATGTGCTTCAGTCACGGGCAGGACCGAAGCCCTGGAAACTCTCAGGAGCCGAGCTGCCGAAATGGGGTAGCAGAGGATGGAGTCATGCCACAACCTCTTTAGCCATGTGGACAGGCAGAAGGTCTGTGGTTCAAATCGGACATTTTATGGCCGCTACATCACCATGCCTCCAGGTATTTGTTGTAAACAAGAATTTTTTTTGTTCCAGGCAAATGTGAACAAAAGGGCATCCTGACGGGTAGCAATGCCGGGATCATGGCGATAGAGTTTGACATTGAAGTAGGTGGCTGTCTTCACTGACACAAAACAATGCTGATTATGTCTTCTTTCCTGGGATCCATTCCATCAAATGTTCTTAGCGCTGAGTAGGGCTGCAACGAATACACTATGGGCGAATATTTAGTGCCAAAAATATTTGAGACTACTATCATGACCATAGCTCTTAGCATAATTTTCAGTAGAATTTAGTGTTATTATATTGATTATTGTTAACTGAGCCTAGGCTGAACAGAATGTTACTAGACTCAGATTTTGGACTTGTTGCTATATTCGCAGACTGATTTCCTAATTAGTGGGTTTCAACAAGTGTTTGTGTTTAATGAGATTGTGTCGTCTATTGAGGTCGGGCAACTCATTCAAAGGGAGACAATTGAACGACTGTCTTGACCCATGAAGATCCGGGGTAGAATAGGTCTTCAGCAACCCATGCTTGCCGTAAAAGGCGACTATGCTTGTCGTAAGAGGTGACTAACGGGATCAGGTGGTCAGGCTCGCTGACTTGGTTGCTGCATGTCATCGTATCTCAATTGCGTGGATCGATGTTCATGATTCCACTCACTGGATTGTCTGGTCCAGACTTGATTATTTACAGACCGCCCGCGTATAGCTGGAATATTGCTGAGTGCGGCGTTAAACAACAATCCAAGCAACCAACTACTGGCTCACCAGCCAAAACCTTGGGTTCGATTCCCACCATGGTCACACTGCGTGAAGCCTGTTCTTGGTGTCATCCACAATTATGTGGCTGGAATATTGCCAATAAGTGCATGGGTAAAGGTGAATTTAGGCTTCATTACTAGCATCAGTGCATGTGTACATGCTTCATGTACGTAAAGATCTATCGAAAATGTCGGAGTGAAAACCAGCATCATGGCATGATTCTCTTAACATTATTCTTTTTCACATGGAATTACACTTTTTTACACCACTGATAACCCCAAAGCTTCAATTAGGGTTGGCATCCCTGCATATGAACGCACTGATGCACATGATGAAGTCATCCATTTTTCATGAAATCATGATCATTTTATTTCACTTCTCCAGTTGAGTTCAGGAAACTAGGGCTTCAAGGAGTCCACATTTACTACCCGGGTACCCGACCCCCTATTTCCCGACCCTACCCGGGTACCCACTGCAGGTCTCGAGTTGGGAACAAAATGTCTTATTGGGAATTGTTTTACCTCAGCCCTGGCCAAAATTATTAGATACATGTATCAAACGATCAGATCATGTGTACACTGAAGTTGACTGAAGCTTTATCTTTACTCAAACATATACAAGTCAAAAGGAATGTGTGCATCGTCAGAAAGAAATGCGAACATTAGCGACTTGTAGTGTAACCACTGAGCTATAGTGAGTTTTGTCATTAAACAATATATCATGTAACTAACCACGGGTACGGGTAGTCCTGTGGGTACCCGGGTCCTACTCAGGACCCACGCGACCCGAGTACCTGAGTACCCGAGTTACCCGTCCCAGCCCTACAGGAAACTTACATTTTCTCAGAACAGAAGAACTAAGGAGAAATATGAGGAAACATCAAATTAAGGCGCCGCGATTCGCTGTGCAGAGTTGCGTCCCTTGGGCACGCCAGAAACCTATGATTGTGGGTTCGAATCCCGGTTCGCCCCAATTATGTTTCTAGGTTTGTCAGCACCATACCCGTGCTCGTGGGTTTCACCGAAGTGGTAATCGTCTGAGACCTGCATCACTTCGGGCTTTCCTCCCACATTAAGCTGACATGCCGTGATATAACTGGAATAATGTTAAAAGCGGCGTTAAACCCAACTCACTCACTCACTCACTCACCTGTCCCTCATGAATAAGTGCCATGGCTCAGGATTTACAAAATCAATTCATTCGTGACTTGACGAGGAACTTCAACACTATTTCACGAGTATTTGTTTGTTTCAGGACAGCTTAATCCTTGGTGCTTCTAATGACTTTGCAAGTCGAGTCTGGTCAGTGACAGATCAGCGATTACGGGTAAATATATAGATTGTTTTGATGTGGTTAGAAATAACAGTTAATGAAAATCCATATGGAACAAGTTTTATAATGATTCACATGCTCTTGATGTAATACAAATAGTTGATGTGATACCGTATCTCAATGTTACTATGGTAATGAGGTCACAGACTCTCATTGTTGATGTGATACCGTATCTCAATGTTACTATGGTAATGAGGTCACCGACTCTCATTGTTGATGTGATACGTATCTCAATGTTACTATGGTAATGAGGTCACAGACTATCATTGTTGATGTAACACAGTATCTCAATGTTACTATGGTAATGAGGTCACCGACTCTCATTGTTGATGTAACACAGTATCTCAATGTTACTATGGTAATGAGGTCACAGACTCTCATTGTTGATGTAACACAGTATCTCAATGTTACTATGGTAATGAGGTCACAGACTCTCATTGTTGATGTAACACAGTATCTCAATGTTACTATGGTAATGAGGTCACAGACTCTCATTGTTGATGTAACACAGTATCTCAATGTTACTATGGTAATGAGGTCACACACTATCATTGTAGATGTTAAGTTGTCCCAGTTAGTTTCTTGATACTGATTTCCAAAGAGAGAAGAGGTAATTATTGAGAGTTAAAGTATTACATTCATGTAGGTATTTGATGTGACAAAACCTGTGCCAGAATTCATGTTTTTCCTCTCTTGGGAAATACAATATGTATGTTTCGTTAATTTGTTTGTTGTTTAACGCCGCACTCAGCAATATTCCAGCTATATGACAGCGGTCTGTAAATAATCGAGTCTGAACCAGACAATCCAGTGATTGACATCATGAGTATCGACTCACGCAATTGGGATCGATGACATGCATCAACCAAGTCAGCGAGTCTGACCACCCGATCCCTTCAGTCGCCTCTTACGACAAGAGTAGTCGCCTTTTACGGCAAGCATGGGTTGCTGAAGACCTATTCTACCCTGGATCTTCTTGGGTCCAATATGTGTGGTATTTTCTTCAATAATTTCTTACACCCTGGTATATAATATGTAAGATAACGTGTTAGACCCTGGTATACAATATGTGTGATATCATGTTAGACCCTTATATTCAATACAGTTAGTACCTGTAGGCCCTGTTATATATATTGTATTGCTCAACGGATTGCAGCACACACTGACAGGTCACAGTGGCAAGGTGCTGGCAGCCAAGTTCCTTGGGGACACCAACAAGGTTGTGTCGGGAAGCCATGACAGGACGCTCAAGGTGTGGGACCTCCACAGCAGGGCGTGTGAGTATCTCTGTGTTTACCTGTCACCTACAGACCACATGGTTCCCCAAATCAAGTGAGTGAGTGAGTATGGTTTTACGCCGCTTTTAGCAATATTCCAGCAATATCACGGCGGGGGACACCAGAAATGAGCTTCACACATTGTACCCATGTCGGGAATCGAACCCGGGTCTTCGGCGTGACGAGCGAACGCTTTAACCACTAGGCTACCCGACCGCCCCCCCAAATCAAGAACCAATGAGGACATGAATAACGCAGTCCAAGCCCTCCCCATCCTTTTATCAGCGAGTCAGGAAAGAGTACTCTACAAATGGACATGGTCTAATTCAATTTTTTTTTTAAATTTATGCGAATATAAATTCAAATATATTGTTTGGTTAGCCAATCAAATGCAATGGAATCATTTGCGATTAAAATTTTATGATTCAGACAGGTTCTGATGCAAGGATGCAAGTGTAGGGGTTGGTGTTGGATGAGGGTAATAGATTGTATTAAATATTGCTGCGGGATTACAAGTTTTCAAATTTAGGGGTGTAATGTTATTTTTTTTTCATGAATTATCAAACTTTTATTGACTCACTGTTATTCATGTTAGTTCCAGCTGGGTCAAGTGTGGGTTTGAGTTATGTCCCCTTGATAATCATTGAATTTATGCCACCATATCCAGGAACCACAAAATCAATGTTGTCCAGACATAATTCTTCAATCCAGGGCCCTGTTCTGTGCTTTTTTTGTTTGTTGTTTACGCCGCACTCAGCAACATTCCAGCTATATGACGGCGGTCTGTAAATACTCGAGTCTGGACCAGACAATCCAGTGATTGACATCATGAGGATCCATCCACGCAATTGACATCTATGACATGCATCAACCAAGTCAGCAAGCCTGACCACCCGATCCTGTTAGTCGCTTCTTACGACAAGCATGGTCACCTTTTACGGCAAGCATGGGTTGCTGAAGACCTATTCAACCCCGGATCTTCAAGGGTCCGCTGTCCAGTGAAGTGATCATGTCATCAAAGGTGACAATGCTTGTCGTATGAGGCGACTAACGGGATCGGGTGGTCAGGCTCACTGACTTGGTTGATGCATGTCATCGATCCCAGTTGTGTGGATCGATGCTTATGATATCAATCACAGGATTGTCTTGTCCATACTCGATTATTTACAGACCGCCATCATACAGCTGGAATATTGCTGTGTGTGGTGTAAAACAACCAACCAACCAACCAACCTGTGAACATGATGGGTGTGGCCACCCAGAGTTCCATGTGGCCAGCCTTGGACATCTGCCATAGGACAGCGCCATTTGACAGTCCATAGTCCATTCAAAAAATTGCATATGTTTTTCAGCTCTTGATAATTTGACAAGTCTATACATTTAGATATGTCGTAGAATGGTTAACTTTCATTGAGAAAATGTCCGAAATCATGAAAAACTATTTCCATTTGCATAGTTATCCTTTGTTTACATCAGCTGTCATCAAAGCCCTACGGAGAGCTAGCGATATGGTCACTTTGATGTAAATACCGTATTCGACATAATAAGCGCCCCGCTCTAATAAGCGCCCACGGCGATATTTGCTAATATATTGGCTTGTGAACAATCCCAATTTGCACCCCTTCCGATTGATCAATGTACAAAAGACTTATTTATTCATGTATAATACACACTCATGTGTTATATGCACCCTTAATTATGGGCAATTAAATTCTTGAAAAATATATTTGTTGTATATACATTTCAGGCTGTCAGCATAACCACGAAAATTTATCTTTCAACTCTCAACTTTCAACTTTTTCACCAAAATAATATTCTAATAAGAGCCCCCTATTTCTAATTTTGAGAGCGCCCTGGGCGCTTATTACATCGAATACGGTAGATATATTGTCATGCACTTCACTGTCGCAGTTCTAGTAGCATATCTATATAATAAATGCAAAACAATATGTAAAGCGCCCCAATAGGCTTGCATAAGGCCAGACTGTTCTGATATCAGAGGACGAGCGTTTGTTTACAAACAAGAGAAAAGTCTGGTCATGTGATGTGCAAATAAGCCCGTGGCAGTGGTGTTACGCTAAGTCACCACTGCACCGGAGTGTGGGGTGTGGTACATGACACCAAGAAGACATATCACTCAGAAATTGAGGTCGAACTGTTTTTTTCTACAGAATGCCACATCACTGTCCGAGTGCTTCCTTTCTTCTGGCCAGAAGTGCCATAGGTTGAGATCAAATGTGCTGAATGAAACTTTTGCTGTACTTTCAGGTATAAAGACAATATTTGCGGGGTCAAGTTGCAATGACCTGGTGACGCTGCACGGGAACAACATCATCAGCGGCCACTTCGACAAGCGTGTCCGGTTCTGGGACACCCGGTCAGATTCTAGCGCTAACGAAATCATGCTGCAGGGACGGCTGACATCGCTAGATCTAGCTCCAGGTAGTGTGCCAAGGATACATACAAGTCATCACCTACCCGTGAAGATTCCGGGTAGAACAGGTCTTCAGCAACCCATGCTTGCCGTAAAAGGCGACTATGCTTGTCGTAAAAGGCGACTAACGGGATCGGGTGGTCAGGCTCGCTGACTTGGTTGATGCCTGTCATCGATCACAATTGCGTGGATCCATGCTCATGATGTCAATCACTTGATTGTCTGGTCCAGACTCGATTATTTACAGACTGCTGTCATATAGCTGGAATATTGCTGAGTGCGGCGTTAAAAAACCAACCAACCAACCAGCCAACAAGTCATCACGCGAGGTGGGGAATATAAAATATACATGATATGTTTGGCATTTTGATAATGATAACAATTATCCTAGTCGTTTGTCCGGTCCCCGATGATCAATTCTGACGTGGTCGCTTATAGACAAGGGTGATGCCATGTGTGTTTGTGATCACTAAAAGTTGTACCTATCTGACCTTTCAGAATTGCTTATTGTACCCCCTACCTTAAAGGGTATTATATGTACAAGTCATAGCACTAGTCTTCGAATTGTATATATGTGGAAACTGTACTTGAGTTTTGTTATTTGTGACTCGAACAATGATGCAATTTATGTTACTAGATTATATAGGTATATCCTTGCTTATCCAATAAACTATCAAGTAAAATAAAATACTTATTACATTAATATTTATGTATTTGGGTTCATTGTTGACTTTAGGAGGAATTATTTACGAGTATGATTAGTAGCAGACGTGGTTATTTTTGTGTCTACATATGTGTAGCAATAGAACTTAGTCAGGTAGTCATTTGGCTACCTCTGAATTTTTAGTGCTACGACTTTCGTAAGTTTATCTTAAAATATGGGAGTTACGATTGTCTAAGTGCTAAGATTCTCGTAAGTCAGTGTTACAGTTTGGGAGTTAGGATTGTCTTTGGGCTAATATTCTCGAAATTCATTGTTACAGTATGGGATTTACAATCATCATTGCCCTAAGATTCTCGTAAGTCAGTATTAAAGTATTGGAGTTACAATCGTCATAGCCCTAAGATTCTCGAAATTCAGTGTTAAAGTATGGGGTTTACGATCATCATAGCTCAAAGGTTCTCGCAAGTACAAACGTAAGTCTATCTTAAAATATGATTGTTACGATTGTCTTAGTGCTAAGATTCTCATAAGTCAGTGGTACAATATGGGAGTTACGATCATCTTTGTGCTAAGGTTCTCGAAATTCAGTGTTAAAGTATGGGATTTACGATCATCATAGCTCTAAGATTCTCGTAAGACAGTGTTACAATATGGGAGTTACGATTGTGTTAGTGCTAAGATTCTCATAAGTCAGTGTTACAATATGGGAGTTACGATCATCTTTGTGCTAAGGTTCTCAAAATTCAGTGTTAAAGTATGGGATTTACGATCATCATAGCTCTAAGATTCTCGTAAGACAGTGTTACAATATGGGAGTTACATAGCTCTCTAAGATTCTCAAAATTCAATGTTACGGTATGGGATTTATGCTCATCATAGCTATAAGGTTCTCGTAAGTCAGTGTTACAAACATAAGTCTATCTTAAAATATGGGAGCTACGATTGTCTTAGTGCTAAGATTCTTGTAAGTGAATGTTACAGTATGGGATTTACGATCATCATAGCTCTAAGATTCTCGTAAGACAGTGTTACAATATAGGAGTTACGATCATCTTTGTGCTAAGGTTCTCGAAATTCAGTGTTAAAGTATGGGATTTACGATCATCATAGCTCTAAGATTCTTGTAAGTCAGTGTTACAATATGGGAGTTACGATTGTCTTAGTGCTAAGATTCTTGTAAGTCAATGTTACAGTATGGGAGTTACAATCATCTTTGCTCTAAGATTCTCAAAATTCAATGTTACGGTATGGGATTTATGCTCATCATAGCTATAAGGTTCTCATAGGTCAGTGTTACAAACATAAGTCTATCTTAAAATATGGGAGCTACGATTGTCTTAGTGCTTAGATTCTTGTAAGTGAATGTTACAGTATGGGATTTACGATCATCATAGCTCTAAGATTCTCGTAAGTCAGTGTTACTATATGGGAGTTTCTATTGTCTTAGTGCTAAGATTCTCGTAAGTCAATGTTACAGTATGGGATTTACGATTGTCTTAGTGCTAAGATTCTTGTAAGTGAATGTTACAGTATGGGATTTACGATTGTCTTAGTGCTAAGATTCTTGTCAGTCAATGTTACAGTATGGGATTTACGATTGTCTTAGTGCTAAGATTCTCGTAAGTCAATGTTACAGTATGGGATTTACGATTGTCTTAGTGCTAAGATTCTTGTAAGTCAATGTTACAATATGGGATTTAAGATTGTCTTAGTGCTAAGATTCTCGTAAGTCAATGTTACAGTATGGGATTTACGATTGTCTTAGTGCTAAGATTCTCGTAAGTCAGCATTACAATAAAAGAATTACAATTGTCTTAGTGCTAAGACTCTCGTAAGTCAACGTTACAGTATGGCAGTTACGATCATCATATCTCTCTAAGTTTGCTTTGTGAAACGGGCCCCAGGGACCCATTAAGTTTGAACACTGTGCCCTTGTAATATGTTGCAATGACAACATTGTATTTGTACTGCAGTGAGTGTTGAAGTTTTGCTTGGAATCAATGACAGCACACAGCTGACACATTTCATAATGCATTAAAGCTGTTCGCTCAGTACCACAATACAATCCAACCTGGCCATCAATAGTCCTGCTCATGAAGCAGGTAAATATATACAGTAACTGATAACTCATTCTTGTGTATAGAATTTATACATTTTTTTATTGCCAGTTTTATATGCTTTGTCAGTTTGATTATCGTTTGGAGTATTTGAAACGATGATGTGACATATTTATGCTTCCATAGGCACACAGCTGTTGCCATGGTTGCAGTTTATTATTCAGTAATAATTTTTCATAATGTTTGCAGATTGAAACACTATAAACCAGATCATGCATTGATTTTCTCCCTAAGCTAGTTCCAGAGTTCCAGATAACTCTTTGAGCAATTGAGTTTTTCCCAAGGGTTTCTATTTTAATTGGATTATTATATTTTTCATTGGGTAACCAATATTTTTTCACTCATCTATTCATCACTCTAATGGTTTTTCCCAAAATTAGTGAACATCTTAAGATTTAAAAAAAATGAAATAATGTTTTAGATGTATGTAACTGTTCTAAATATATAGGCTGGACTTGGAAAGTAAATTATCTTGCAATTGTGTTTCGGAAATTAGCTCCTTTGTACGCATGCTGAAAAGGCTTCATTTGTTATTTACGCATGCTGTTTTTATAATTTGAGTTATACATTTAAAGCATGCGTTTCTGTACACAAGTTAATTGAAAGTAATTTCTGTTACAAGCCGGGGGCACAGGTGGCCCAGTTGTCTAAGGCGCCGCGATTCGCTGTGCAGAGTTGCGTCCCTTGGGCACGCCAGAAACCTAAGATTGTGGGTTCGAATCCCAGTTCACCCCGATTATGTTTCTAGGTTTGTCAGCACCATACCCGTGCTCGTGGGTTTCGCCGAAGTGGTAAACGTCTGAGACCTGCATCACTTCGGGCTTTCCTCCCACATTAAGCTGACACGCCGTGATATAACTGGAATACTGTTAAAAGCTGAGTTAAGCGCAACTCACTCACTCACTCAAGGGCATGGGCATGTGATGGTCACCAAGTTTGTGAGATGCCCCCCTTAATCCCCCATTGTCTTACCATTCACCCCGCTTGGGTGATTTTATTCTATAACAATAGGTGCTGGACAAGTAGGAAGACCCCTTAATGAAATGAATTACAACTCTGCAAATGATTTGTCTGTTTGGAATAATTATGTCATCATTAAACACAAAGTAGATGCCCTGATTTCCCTGTTTTCAGACCGGTGTAGTTTGCTGTGCTGCACACGAGACGATTCGGTGAAGATTATCGACCTCAGGATGAACCAAGTGTCAGCCACGTTTTGGTAGGCAGATTGTATATATCCTATCTCTTGACCGAAGGACACAGGTAACTCTGTGGTCTATGGCAAAGCAATTTGCTTGATCGTGACAAGATCTAAGAGTTTGTTCTAGTTGTGTCAGGAGTAAGAGTTTGTTCTAACCATGACAGGATCTAATAAGTTTGTAAGTATGAACATACTAACTCGATATCTTTTGAAAACCCAGTAGAATTGCCCCTTATTCCTCAATATTTAGAGATACTGTATAAGGAAGATAAAGGATGCAAGATATTTAATTCAAAATTAGTGAATAGTTTTGATTAAAAGGACAACGTTCACAGTGAAACAAAATGGGAAAATGAAATTGTTGCACAGGGTGACTGCTTAATGAAATGGAGGGGCGACAAGGTAGCCCAGTGGTTAAAGCGTTCGCTCGTCACACGGAAGACCTGGGTTCGATTCCTGACATGGGTACAATGTGTGAAGCCCATTTCTGGTGTCCCCCGCCGTGATATTGCTGGAATATTGCTAAAAGCGGCGTAAAACAATACTCACTCACTAACTCTACTCCGAAATGGATTATGTTACAATTGACCTTTCTAATTCCGCGAAAGCCCAGCGATGCATCGACTCAATATGCATACAGCTCAATACTCGCTGAATGTTAATTTTACTTTGTAGATACATGTTATATCCGCCGTAGCGAACAGCGACACATTTCTGAATCTGTCTTAATAACGGACTGTATTTAGTGTAACAAAATGTCCCCTGCCATGATATTGCTGGAATATTGCTAAGAGCGGCGTAAAACCATACTCACTCACTAATAACATGGATAAAAAACCGTACTGTCCCAAAATTGGAAATAAATTAGCAAAATATCATATTTTGATTTAAAGAAAAATTATATGACGCACTCCACTTGATTTTCGTTATAACTAAATTATACATCTACAAAAACAAATGTACGAATTGTTCACAAAATTTTAATGGTCTGACGACTATGTCAACAAATTCTTATCATTTCAACAAGTTCACTGCCTATTCAGAATGCAAATATATAAAAGTTTTTGACCTTCTGGTCTTCATGTCACAATCACGTCTCAGACCTGCATCACTTCGGGCTTTCCTCCCATTAAGCTGACACGTCGCGATATAACTGCAATACTATTAGTGGCGTTAAACACAACTCACTCACTCATGTCACTATCTGTTTACATAGGAAAGATTTATACAATGTCAAATGTTTACACACCATTAATAATATGTCCATAACGTAATTATGTTGCAGTCACTATTTCTCTTTGAAATGTGTCAATACCCATAGAGAGTGCCTGTACACCCAAAAAGAAATAAAGTGATAAAAAAATGAAAATCCTCCTTCACTCAGTCATGTCCTTCAAGACATGGTAGAGGTGTTAATATGTTTGTTGATAATATTAATGAGTGGATTTATTCTGTTCACAGCGCTGATGGGTTTAAAGTGGGCTGTGATTGGTCAAGGGCTGTTTTCAGGTAAATAGTAGTGCAGGATGATGATGATGATGATGATGATGATGATGCCAATTACAATCATCTTCGTGCTGAGATCACTTTGTTGAATGTGACCCTGGGCTCCATTCCATGTTGTGATCTTGGCGCTACGACAATCATAGCTTTTAAGACCCAAAACAAGTTAATTTATATGTCAGAGATGTTTAAAAAATCGGCAATAATGGGTTACTAGATAAAGTGATGGACAACTTTTATTTCCCATTTCGGAAAACTTTTTCTTATCAATATTGCCATGTGCGGTTTTCTTGTATGCTACCCAGAAAAAGCATGTCTCATTTTACTCTTGTGCATTACCAGTGAGTAAGTAAGCTTGTAGGATCTCTCATAGGAACCTGATGTACCCGGTGGCTGAGTGGGTTAGATTGCTGACTTTGTGTGCTGGCTATTAGGTGCCTCACTCTGGCAGTGTGGGTTCGAATCCTGGAGGGGCGGTCGGGTAGCCTAGTGGTTAAAGCATTCGCTCGTCACGCCAAAGACCCGGGTTTGATTCCCCACATGGATACAATGTGTGAAGCCCATTTCTGGTGTGCCCCGTCGTGATATTGCTGGAATATTGCTAAAAGCGGCGTAAAACCATACTTACTCACTCACTCACTCGAATCCTGGATGGGACTCAACCCAAAAAAGTACGAGAATCTGTACTTTTCTTAGAAAGTGTTATCCCAAATATAACATTTGCTCCATTTGACCACTTTCTAAATGGCATTGTGTGTTCACTCTGTAGTAGCGTAGTATGTCTAAATGATCCTGTAGCACCTCTGACATGAGCATGTGTGTCTGTCTCCAGTCCTGATGGCAGCTTTGCAGCTGCTGGTTCAAATGATGGAGGGCTGTATATCTGGAACATCGGCAAGAACAAGGTGGAGAAACTTCTTAAAGAACATAGGTGAGAACGGAAGACTGTACAGAACTGGTTACCATGTATGTCTTGCACCGTCGCAGGGAGTAACAATCTGGGGAGGTTTCATAAGCGTTGTCCCTGACAAATACTAGTCAGGCGTTAGAAATTGGCACTAGTCCTGTAGTCCTTACCAAACTGCCCAATAGTAAAGGTTTCCTAAGGACGAGTAGAAATTGGCCCATTTTAAGTGTTTTGCTATATGTTATCATTATAAGGACTAGTGGACAAAAACTGTTAGTTTCTAACACTGCTAGCCCGAACTTCGAATTTATTGTTATCATGTGGACTCATTAGCTTAGCTTATGAAACACCCGGATATTACTTTACTCAAACAAAGTTAAAGAACACCTGATTGTTTTCATATGGCTATAGGTATTGTATAGATATGACTATCAGTCATGACTGGTGGGAATTGTAACACATCCTTCCAGTTGTGGGTGTTCTTTGACTTGCATTGAGTAGAATAGTTGTCCAGTGAGCCCGTTTTCTGTCTGTATGAATGTGTGCTATGTGAATGTATGCTATGTGAATGTGTGCTATGTGAATGTGTGCTATGTGAATGTATGCTATGTGAATGTGTGCTATGTGAATGTGTGCTATGTGAATGTATGCTATGTGAATGTGTGCTATGTGAATGTATGCTATGTGAATGTGTGCTATGTGAATGTGTGCTATGTGAATGTGTGCTATGTGAATGTGTGCTATGTGAATGTGTGCTATGTGAATGTGTGCTATGTGAATGTGTGCTATGTGAATGTGTGCTATGTGAATGTGTGCTATGTGAATGTATGCTATGTGAATGTATGCTATGTGAATGTGTGCTATGTGAATGTATGCTATGTGAATGTGTGCTATGTGAATGTATGCTATGTGAATGTATGCTATGTGAATGTGTGCTATGTGAATGTGTGCTATGTGAATGTGTGCTATGTGAATGTATGCTATGTGAATGTGTGCTATGTGAATGTGTGCTATGTGAATGTGTGCTATGTGAATGTGTGCTATGTGAATGTGTGCTATGTGAATGTGTGCTATGTGAATGTGTGCTATGTGAATGTGTGCTATGTGAATGTATGCTATGTGAATGTGTGCTATGAGAATGTATGCTATGTGAATGTGTGCTATGTGAATGTATGCTATGTGAATGTATGCTATGTGAATGTGTGCTGTGTGCTATGTGAATGTGTGCTATGTGAATGTATGCTATGTGAATGTATGCTATGTGAATGTGTGCTATGTGAATGTATGCTATGTGAATGTGTGCTATGTGAATGTGTGCTATGTGAATGTGTGCTATGTGAATGTGTGCTATGTGAATGTGTGCTATGTGAATGTATGCTATGTGAATGTGTGCTATGTGAATGTGTGCCATGTGAATGTATGCTATGTGAATGTGTGCTATGTGAATGTATGCTATGTGAATGTGTGCTATGTGAATGTGTGCTATGTGAATGTATGCTATGTGAATGTGTGCTATGAATGTATGCTATGTGAATGTGTGCTATGTGAATGTGTGCTATGTGAATGTGTGCTATGTGAATGTATGCTATGTGAATGTGTGCTATGTGAATGTGTGCTATGTGAATGTGTGTTATGTGAATGTGTGCTATGTGAATGTGTGCTATGTGAATGTGTGCTATGTGAATGTATGCTATGTGAATGTGTGCTATGTGAATGTATGCTATGTGAATGTATGCTATGTGAATGTGTGCTATGTGAATGTGTGCTATGTGAATGTATGCTATGTGAATGTGTGCTATGTGAATGTATGCTATGTGAATGTATGCTATGTGAATGTATGCAATGTGAATGTGTGCTATGTGAATGTGTGCTATGTGAATGTGTGCTATGTGAATGTATGCTATGTGAATGTGTGCTATGTGAATGTATGCTATGTGAATGTATGCTATGTGAATGTGTGCTATGTGAATGTATGCTATGTGAATGTATGCTATGTGAATGTGTGCTATGTGAATGTATGCTATGTGAATGTATGCTATGTGAATGTATGCTATGTGAATGTGTGCTATGTGAATGTGTGCTATGTGAATGTGTGCTATGTGAATGTGTGCTATGTGAATGTATGCTATGTGAATGTATGCTATGTGAATGTATGCTATGTGAATGTGTGCTATGTGAATGTTTGCTATGTGAATGTATGCTATGTGAATGTGTGCTATGTGAATGTGTGCTATGTGAATGTATGCTATGTGAATGTGTGCTATGTGAATGTATGCTATGTGAATGTGTGCTATGTGAATGTATGCTATGTGAATGTGTGCTATGTGAATGTATGCTATGTGAATGTGTGCTATGTGAATGTATGCTATGTGAATGTGTGCTATGTGAATGTGTGCTATGTGAATGTGTGCTATGTGAATGTGTGCTATGTGAATGTGTGCTATGTGAATGTATGCTATGTGAATGTGTGCTATGTGAATGTGTGCTATGTGAATGTATGCTATGTGAATGTATGCTATGTGAATGTGTGCTATGTGAATGTGTGCTATGTGAATGTATGCTATGTGAATGTATGCTATGTGAATGTGTGCTATGTGAATGTGTGCTATGTGAATGTATGCTATGTGAATGTATGCTATGTGAATGTGTACTATGTGAATGTGTGCTATGTGAATGTATGCTATGTGAATGTGTGCTATGTGAATGTGTGCTATGTGAATGTATGCTATGTGAATGTATGCTATGTGAATGTATGCTATGTGAATGTGTGCTATGTGAATGTATGCTATGTGAATGTGTGCTATGTGAATGTGTGCTATGTGAATGTATGCTATGTGAATGTGTGCTATGTGAATGTGTGCTATGTGAATGTATGCTATGTGAATGTATGCTATGTGAATGTGTGCTATGTGAATGTATGCTATGTGAATGTATGCTATGTGAATGTGTGCTATGTGAATGTATGCTATGTGAATGTATGCTATGTGAATGTATGCTATGTGAATGTGAATGTATGCTATGTGAATGTGTGCTATGTGAATGTATGCTATGTGAATGTGAATGTATGCTATGTGAATGTGTGCTATGTGAATGTATGCTCTATGTGAATGTATGCTATGTGAATGTGTGCTATGTGAATGTGTGCTATGTGAATGTTAGCTATGTGAATGTGTGCTATGTGAATGTATGCTATGTGAATGTGTGCTATGTGAATGTATGCTATGTGAATGTATGCTATGTGAATGTGTGCTATGTGAATGTATGCTATGTGAATGTGTGCTATGTGAATGTATGCTATGTGAATGTATGCTATGTGAATGTGTGCTATGTGAATGTGTGCTATGTGAATGTATGCTATGTGAATGTGTGCTATGTGAATGTATGCTATGTGAATGTGTGCTATGTGAATGTATGCTATGTGAATGTGTGCTATGTGAATGTGTGCTATGTGAATGTGTGCTATGTGAATGTATCCTATGTGAATGTATGCTATGTGAATGTATGCTATATGAATGTATGTGAATGTATGCTATGTGAATGTATGCTATGTGAATGTATGCTATGTGAATGTGTGCTATGTGAATGTATGCTATGTGAATGTATGCTATGTGAATGTGAATGTATGCTATGTGAATGTGTGCTATGTGAATGTGTGCTATGTGAATGTGTGCTATGTGAATGTATGCTATGTGAATGTATGCTCTATGTGAATGTATGCTATGTGAATGTATGCTATGTGAATGTATGCTATGTGAATGTGTGCTATATGAATGTGTGCTATGTGAATGTATGCTATGTGAATGTATGCTATGTGAATGTGTGCTATGTGAATGTGTGCTATGAGAATGTGTGCTATGTGAATGTGTGCTATGTGAATGTGTGCTATGTGAATGTATGCTATGTGAATGTGTGCTATGTGAATGTGTGCTATGTGAATGTATGCTATGTGAATGTGTGCTATGTGAATGTGTGCTATGTGAATGTGTGCTATGTGAATGTGTGCTATGTGAATGTGTGCTATGTGAATGTATGCTATGTGAATGTGTGCTATGTGAATGTATGCTATGTGAATGTGTGCTATGTGAATGTGTGCTATGTGAATGTATGCTATGTGAATGTATGCTATGTGAATGTATGCTATGTGAATGTATGCTATGTGAATGTATGCTATATGAATGTATGCTATATGAATGTATGCTATGTGAATGTATGCTATATGAATGTATGCTATATGAATGTATGCTATATGAATGTATGCTATATAAATGTGTGCTATATGAATGTGTGCTATATGAATGTATGCTATATGAATGTATGCTATGTGAATGTATGCTATATGAATGTATGCTATATGAATGTATGCTATATAAATGTGTGCTATATGAATGTGTGCTATATGAATGTATGCTATATGAATGTATGCTATGTGAATGTATGCTATATGAATGTATGCTATATGAATGTATGCTATATGAATGTATGCTATATGAATGTGTGCTATATGAATGTGTGCTATATGAATGTATGCTATATGAATGTATGCTATGTGAATGTATGCTATATGAATGTATGCTATATGAATGTATGCTATATGAATGTATGCTATATGAATGTATGCTATATAAATGTGTGCTATATGAATGTGTGCTATATGAATGTGTTCTATATGAATGTATGCTATATGAATGTATGCTATATGAATGTATACTATATGAATGTATGCTATATGAATGTGTTCTATATGAATGTATGCTATATAACTATATGCGATATGAATGTATACTATATGAATGTATCCTGTATAAATATATGCTATATGAATGTATGCTATAGAAATATATGCTATATTAATGTATGCTATATGAATGTATGCTATACGAATGTATGCTATAAGAATATATGCTATATGAATGTATGCTATATGAATGTATGCTATATAAAAGTTTGCTATATGAATGTATGCTATATAAATATATGCTATATGAATGTATGCTATACGAATGTATGGTATAAGAATGTATGCTATAAAAATGTATTCTATATGAATGTATGCTATATGTATGCATGCTATACGAATATATGCTGTATGAATGTATGCTATATAAAAGTTTGCTATATGAATGTTTTCATGGGTTTCCTGTAATCTCTTTCAGTCATGCAATAATGGCCTGTGCGTGGAATCCGATTGGCTCCTCTCTGGTCAGCTGTGAGCGTTCAAGGAAAGTCATCTACTGGGCCGATTACTGAACAACAGCATGTAACCAACAGACAGAGGGAATGAAATCCAATGTGACAGAGTCATAATCACATGCAAGAGAACTTGAGTCTCCTGACAATCAATATATATAATGTGAAAAGGTCTCAAAGCTAAGAAAGGGCATTTTGATGAACACAGTTTTCCATACTTTATTCTAAGACAAACACTTTTCTTGGACTATTATATTTCTGTCCACCTTTCCCTAAGCAGAGACAGTTTCAATCAAAGCTAATGTTTAGATAATCCCCTTTACCATTCGTAATGAGAGCTGCTTTGCTTAGATCTCTTCGCGAATGTTGAAGTGATGTTGCTTGCTGAGCATGACTATAATAGCTTCCTGTATACCGTTATCAATAGAAAAAAGTCATCTATATAACATGTTACATCCTTATCTTTTATTCATCCTAGAATGATATATATGCCTGATACAGCCAATCGGTGAACATGGTGAATAAGTGAATAAATATACTGGTGATGAGGTACGGTGAGGTGAAATGGGGTGTAACCTCATGTCCAAGATATTGTACTTCTATAGCAGCATGTGTGTGTGTGGCTGCTTGTACTCGTCCCGATTTTTGGCTGTTTAATGGAGCTAGCTCACAAAGATATGCTGCAATTTAAGATGGATACCCCACTCAGACACAGGGTACTGACTCCGAGCCGACCAGTCCTTGTTTTAGCCCCTAAATGCTGACTGCCAGACAGGGTAACAACAAGTACCATCTTTTAATGTCTTGTGGTATGACACGGCCAGGCATCGTAACCACCGACCTGCCACTCTCTGGACAGACACTCTACCACTCGACCTCGGATTGGAGGGAATATAATGGTTATATGTGATCGTATTCAATACTTGTATACACCAACACAGTTATGCCGGATCTCTAATACTCCGGAGCCATTGTTCAGGCACTTTCACCAGCAATCGTATTGTCAAGAATTAAAGTTGTTTCACTTTTTGACAATGGACAGGTCAGTTAAGTTACATAGTATTCTCTCAGTGCCTGATGTATTGCCAGCTATCTCCTTCAAGTAATACCTTTCTGCATGAAGGGATCTGACCACACCTCCATAGGAAGTCACGTGAAACCTTAATTCTCGGTACAAGTGAGTGAAGGATTCATATCTGAATTCTATATCTTAGAACAAATGTGACCCACCAGGATTGTTTGTTTGTTTGTTTGTTTGTTGTTTGACGCCGAACTCAGCAATATTCAAGCTGTAGGACGGTGATCTGGTCCAGACTCGATTATTTACAATCCAGTGATTGACATCATGAGCATCGATCCACGCAGTTGGGATACGATGACATGCATCAACCAAGTCAGCAAGTCTGACCACCCGATCCCGTTAGTCGCCTTTTACGACAAGCATAGTAGCCTTTTATGGCAAGCATGGGTTTTCTTTGATAAGATTGTTATCAGTTGAGGAGTAATGTAAAAAATGAAGCTGAATCATTTTAGAAATCTGATGGGCTCAAGTTTTGGCAGTCAATGTATTCTCCAGGTTTGCCTGAAGCATCCTCCAATGGATGTGTTCTCAGATCTTCACGCAGTGAGGTATCTTGTTTTGGAGTAAAACATCTTATTATAATTAGATTGTATTGCCCAGGTAGTAACCATACACGTGTTGTCATTAATCCAAATTTGGAATCTATGTTTAGTTCTTTAGTCTCCTTAGACAAGTGATGTTCAGTATTTGGCTCTGTTCACCCAGCAGTAAATGGGTACCCGGTAGGATGAGATGGTAATGTGGCTGTTAACCTTCTAGCGCCTCACAGGCAGCTTGGGTTGTATACTCCCCAGGGAGCTGAGATCGATAATTGAGTCACACTGATCCGTTGACCAGGGTAATAATAATATATAGCGCCTGTGAGCAGCCTGGATGGAAGTCAGCACGATATGAATAGATTATTATTACTATTATTATTATTATTCCATGTGAAGCCAACTCTTGCCGTTGGCCTTTAAGATTATACGTTTTTAATTATATCTTAAGCAAGTGAAACTGCTGCTGTAGATTCGAAACTCGCGACCCAGCATTGATTCAGGCTGAACAGGTCCCAGTGCACCATTTATACCACACCGCTTTTGATAGGAATATTTTATATTTCCCTGATACACAAGACTGACTCTCATAATGTCCAGTGTATACCGAATTTGACGTAATAAGCGCCAAGGGCGCTCTCAAAATTTGAAATAGGGGGCTCTTATTAGAATAAAATTTTGGAGAAAAAAAAACAGAGTTGAAAGATTGTAAATTTCGTGGTTTATGCTGACAGCCTGAAATTACACAAAATAAAAGTCTGTGTGTATTATACATGACAGATATATTTATCCAGAATTGAATTGCCCATAATAAGGGTGCATATAACACACGAGTGCGTATTATGCACGAATAAATAAGTCTTGTGTACATTGATCAATCGGAAGAGGTGCTAATTGGGATTGTTCACTAGCCAATATATTAGCAAATATCTCCATGGGCGCTTATTACGTCGAATACGGTATTTAAATAGAATGACAAATCTGAATATCCCTATCAAAAATTGAGTAGTATGTGTTGAACCAGTGCTGGGACCAGGTTTGGCCTACCCAGTATTTATATGCCTGGTTCTTCCCCCATAAGGAATTATCAGAAATCTTACCCTTTTATCCTGATGTAACAAGAACGTATCTTGCCAGACTCTCAATCGGTTCGTCATTAGAGAAGCTTTACTCTGTGTCCCAGAAAATAGATGAGAAACTGATTCCAAGTCTAGATTTTGCAAGTCTAGATTGTGTCGGAAATTATGTATTGTTCTTGGCTCAAATTAGATTACGTTTTGTATTTTGTGAATATTTCTGTGACTAAATGTTTGGCTAGGGAAGCTTCATCTTCCCGAGGCAAGAGAGTTAACTGACTATAAAAGTCCAGTTTCCACCCTTGCCGAAATAGGCTGGTATTATGGAGTTACATTTTGGCTGGGCTAACGAGTCTATGCATAGTCCAATCAAAATCGCGCACCGAAATCGAAATCCGGTTCGTAAAGTGTCATGCAAATTTCGGTCGACTGCAGGATTTGCAAAGCATGTGCACTGCTAACTTGTTGACAACAGATATTTTCTATATCTTTTCATGTTTTTAATCAAGGTGCTCACGTGATTTGATGCACTTCGCGATGTAAGACTCGTTTGATCACAATATAGATTTTGATTATCGATCAGATCGTCTTGACTGGGCGCCACCGTCTTGTTTGAAGCAAATGCAAGTGATACGAGAGGTTGAATCTGATTGGTTGATAGGAGAGGCATAGAAAGGACATTACTTGCAATAGCCACTGGTGACGCTATGATCGGGCCCAGGAATTCCAGCCTAGTTCGGCAAGGGTGGAAACTGGACTTTTAAAGTCAGTTAACTCTCTTGCCTCAGGAAGATGGGGAAGCTTGTGAAGAGATGCATTTTAGGCTGATAGTTAGGATATGTGACGATTGGGAGACAGAGAAAAAGTAAAAAGTAGGATGTCGAAGGCACAAGAGGCTTGTTTTGATATCACAACGTACAATAAGTGTCGATGTGACTACTTGACTACCAATCATTCTCAGCCAATCAAAACAGGGATCATTATGTATTATATTACATAAGTTTTTCCTGAGATGAGTTGGGAACGCCTCAATTTGATGTGTAGAGTTGTGTCCCTTAGGAAGGCCAGAACCCTATGACCATGGGTGCATATTCCAGATTTGATCGGATTATGATACATGGTTTGTTAGCAACAGATCTGTGCTTGCAGGGGTCCCCGAATGTCTGAGACCTGCATCACTACAGGCTTACACCCCACCGTTGACGGTCTGAACAGGACACCAACAGGAAAATTATAGAATGAATTTAAATAACTTGGAATGAGATGAAAATGTGACAAGAAAACTTGTTAATGAATTTTGAATCAGCTTGTTATCAAAAGCAATGAACAGCTTCGGTAATCAGTGGTAATCAATGGTAATCAATGGTTATCAATGGTAATCAGTAGTTATCAATGGTAATCAGTAGTTATCAATGGTAATCAGTAGTTATCACTGGTAATCAGTAGTTATCACTGGTAATCAGTGGTAATCAATGGTAATCAATGGTTATCAATGGTAATCAGTAGTTATCAATGGTAATCAGTAGTTATCAATGGTAATCAGTGGTAATCAATATAGTTTTCAATTGTAATCAGTGTTTATCAATGGTAATCAGTGGTTATCAATGGTAATCACTGGTTATCACTGGTAATCAGTGGTAATCAATATAGTTTTCAATGGTATTCAGTGTTTATCAATGGTAATCAGTGGTTATCAATGGAAATCAGTGGTAATCAATATAGTTTTCAATGGTAATCAGTGTTTATCAATGGTAATCAGTGTTTATCAATGGAAATCAGTGGTAATCAATATAGTTTTCAATGGTAATCAGTGTTTATCAATGGTAATCAGTGGTTATCAATAGTAATCAATGGTAACCAGTGGTAATGAATGGTAACTAGTGTTAATCAATGGTAATCAGTGGTAATCAATGGTTATGAATGGTAATGAGTGGTTATCATGACCCTATGATTTTAAAGTCTGTTATGATTTTGTATGGCGGCTTTGACCATGTGCAAGTAACCTCCACTGTTGGGTTACGACACTGTGACGCACGGTATTCTATGGCAGCCTTTACATTGTGAATATTACACATCAGTATAAATGCCTGCTGTATACGCTGATCTTGTACATTTTGCTTGTCATCCATGACTCAGCCTGTAAATATTGTACAGTACACACATATTTATTCATCTACTTGTACATTTTAATTCTATCTAATTTAATTTGTAAATTAACTTTGAACTTTGAATTTGTAATTCCTCTTGGCAGAGTTGTCTCCCCTCAGCATTTGTGGCGTGGTTGCACTGCTCGAGAGATACCGGTTGTTTACAAAATTTCAGCCACTGTCATGTGACATGGGTTAGAAGTTATATGCAGATTTTTGCATTTTAATTTATTCAGTATCCCGGAAAGTATCGCCAGTGGGTAAACTGATCGGGATCATCACCAAGTCATGGGCGTGTATGTGTTTTGTTTCATTTTGTTTATATCTTTGTCAACATTTTTCCGTTAACTCATCAAGGAATGTGATTTTTAGAAAATACTCTAAAGGCTTGATTGTGAAGCAGTCTTATATATCATATAAGTCTGTCTAAATGTACCAAATTTGATGGTTGAATGGCTACTTTGCAGTTTGTAATTTTTCTTAACCCAGAGAATATATTGATGGCCTAGTGGTCTAAGGTGCTGTTATTTGCTGTGCAGTGTTGTGTCCCTGTGTGCCAGTAACATATACCGTATTCGACATAATAAGCGCCCAGGGCGCTCTCAAAATTAGTAATAGGGGGCTCTTATTAGAATATTATTTTGTTGAAAAAACAGAGTTGAAAGATAAATTTCGAGGTTAATGCTGACAGCCTGAAATGTTTGTGTATTTTTCCAGAATTTAATTGCCCATAATTAAGGGTGCATATAACACACGATGGCGTATTATACGCGATTAAATAAGTCTTGTGTACATTGATCAATCCGAAGGGATTGTTCACTAGCCTATATATTAGCAAACATCACCGTGGGCGCTTATTACGTCGAATACGGTAATTTCAGGTTTTGAGGAGAGATTGCCACTGATTGTTTCTGGGTTCGTCAGCTATACCTGTGCTCATGGGTTTCACCAAAATGGAAAACATCTGAGACGTGTATCAAATAATCTGGACTTACAGGGATTCGATCCCACAAACATAGGTTTCTGGCAAACCCAAGGGCGCCTTAGACGACACGGCCACCCATGCCCCAAAATATTATTTGAAGATGGTTCATAGTGATAGTCATGCCAGGCTTGCCAATGTTTTGAAATCAAAAGTCACCTAACCATTTATTCTGAATTGACAATTGTAGGTTTGAAAGTGTGAAGACTGATTATTGAAATGAGAGATTACAGTTTGTATGAAGTTTGGGTATAAGTTTGCAATCTCTTCTTCAACCAGAGGGGCGGTCGGGTAGCCTAATGGTTAAAGTGTTCGCTTGTCACGCTGAAGACCCGGGTTCGATTCCCGACATGGGTACAATGTGTGAAGCCCATTTCTGGTGTCCCCCCGCCGTAATATTGCTGGAATATTGCTTAAAGCGGCGTAAAACATACTCAATCAATCTTCAACCAGATGAAACTGTGACGTGTATGATGTATCACTATCT